CAATCTTAAAGAACGCACACAACTAAACATTAACACCATTATTGAACTTTTAACAATATGTGTAAAGTCAACTTATTTTCAATACAATGACAATTTATGTAAACAACATTTTGGAATGGCTATGGGGTCACCACTATCCTTATCTTTCACTAATTTATTTATGGAAAGTTTTGAATCAACTTTCAACAGAAAATAAATAGAAATGAATTGCTATAGGTTTTATATATCAGTGTGATTTTTACATATATAGAAATAATCTTTATTTCCTATAGAAAAAAGCTATCGACCCAATCGGTGATTTTTTACATTTTCGGTATAATAAATGATAATTTATTTATTTCATTTTAGATCTGAGAGAGAAAGCTTATGGAGATGCTTCAGTTGGATATGTCCAACTGAAAAGAAAAAATAACGTTTGCGTTGTGAAATGCCAAATTTGCCCTGAACATGGAGTACGTTCTCAAAATTACTCTATAATTTTGGAAGTGGATAAATCCGAGGAAAATAAAGTCAAAGCTGAGTGTCAAGACTGTGCGGCGCCAACAGGTAATCCATTAATATTTAAAGATGCAATCAAATATAACGTCTGATTTTTCTGATTTCTAGGAGGATGCAAACATGCTATTGCTTTTGTCATGTGGGTTCATCGACGTAGTGAAGAGCCAAGTCCTACAGAAGTAGAATCATATTGGAAACGTCCTAAACTTTTAACTGTGGCTACATCACGATTTATTACCCTGAATGATTTTTGTAGCGAAACAAATTTGTCAGCAGCCAAGAACTATGATTTATTAAATAAATTTGTGCAAAGAGGGCTAGAAATAGAGGCTTCTAGTCAAATTTTAAAATATTTAATTGTAATTAAATGGAAATTCATCAGTTCTTGTGTTCATTTACGGAGTTAACGCGTAGAAATGTAACGGCTGATGAATTTGTGTTGTATGCATCATCGAAAATACAGTTGTCCGACTGTGAAAAAGCATTTCAAAGCACAATTGCCCAAACTGGATGTAGTATGGGGCATGATCTACGACATAGGTTGCCAAAGAGGTCCAAGTGGACCCCCAGGGATTCATAGGAGACCACACGGAGGTCCACGTAGACGTGAAAACAAAACAGAGGTTCACAAGTAATAAGGGGGGGTGGACAAAAAATTTGCTGGTTTTCATAATGAACAAGAATTTTTGCTTTGATCTAGCTATCAACCTACGTTGATATTGCAGGTAGCATCATTCACTAGGTAGGTACTCAAAAATATATGAGACGCTGTTCAAACCTCAGATTAAACAGATGCATTTGTTTACGTTTTTCTATGGGAGCAACATTAGTTCACAGTCTATACAAAAGTAGGTACTTACGAGGCTGCTTTGCCGGCTCGGTATCCAATTTGATATATATGAGTGGCATCAACAAGAAAATAGCAGGAAAACGGTAGCCATAAATATATTTAGTGTTATATTTGCTTAGTTTGTAATAAGCGACAAGCAAATGTCATTAAAATAACAGCTTCAAAATTTTATATTTAAAAATTCATAAGGATTTTTGGTGGTAATTACCAGAAAACATAATGAAACGTTCATCATGACAACACCGCAAAGGGGGGAGTACGTGATAGTGACATGATAGTAAGACGGGAAGAGCATTTGTTGGACAAGTAAATACGGCAATTTCTCGTGTTTTTGCTGATAACAAGTGATAATCGTGATATTAATAAACTGTTACGCTTAGAAGAAATCGCGCGAAGTCCTTTCAATTGCAGGAAAATCGTCCTAAATTTTCCTAACCTGTATTGTTTTGCACGATTGTAAACAGGGACCAGTGGCGTGAGTTGTTTTGAATTTATAAGCTAAGAGCCAAATTCGATCCCTATCGAATGGTTATCAAATCCTTAAAAAAAATTGCGTTACTATTATAGCGTTTATAATTTCAAACATATGATGTAGAGATAAAGGTCAGAAAATTAATCATGCTTAGAATAAATCGATAATACAGATTTTTACTCCGCCTATGGCTAGCAGCCAGACCAGTTGATTTTCCGATTATTCTACTCTTTGCTCGGTACCTACTTTATCCCTACCACCGGTTTTTCATTGATAAATCGCCGATCGATAGAATTTGAACAAATACGAATGCCAAAAACAAAACGTTACTCATTTGTTTCTGGGATTTGGAACATAAAAGTGTGACTGTGAGTGAATCGATCTCAGTGTTTGCAGTGCCGGAAAAAGTAAGTATCTGCCTATTTGTTAAACATATTTTTATTGTAAACTGTAATTTATCAATGATATTATATTTGTTTTATTATTTGAGTGTAGCTGTAGTGGGTAGTTATGTAGTAAAAAAGGAATACTAGAGATTATCCAAAACTTCTGTAAAAGAACAAAAAGCCAGGAAAGGTTAAACTTTAGGCACATAAGGACTTCTTGGTTTAAAAACATTTATTTACGCGACGATGATTCATTAAAAGAGCGGTATTTCTACGGTCATTTCGTTTTTTTTATTGCAATAATTCTATTCTGTTGGGTTATAATAGCCATATTCTTGTAAAATCGCCTCAAAAACAAACATTTTTTACAGGTCACAACTGATACAAAAAATGGATGAATTTAAGAAGAAATGTCGACAGTACAGTGTTGATTATTTGAAATTTGATTTGCTTCCATCAACGTATTACAAGAGGAGCTACTTGAGCTCATCACCAACGAGGAACTGAAGGTGAAATTTTAGAAAGGCTAACAAACATTTTGGCTGCAGGCAGAAATCCCCGTAAAATATGCTGGGCTATGGAAAATTGTGAGAAAATTTTTGATAGGGTTTCCCTCGTCCTATCTTGTCGAAAGAAGTTTTAGTGTCGTTACCAACCTTTTAACAAAACAATGAGCATATTGAACATCACAGAACGGGGAGATTTGAGATTCCTTCTTACAAAACTGAAGACAAATATGGATAATTTGCTGCCAATTCATCAAGTACATCCGTCTCATTAAAAGTATGACTATGAGAAAGTATTGTTAATTTACATTTCAGAGTTCATTGTTGACTGTTTGTATTAATAAATGTTTATAATTTTGCATAACCACAAGTATTATTTAAATAAATAGGACACAAGAAAATGGGGAAATGTACCGGCAGGGGCTCTACCGAAAATAGTAAAACTTTAAAAGTGGTCCACGAGAAAAAAAGTTTGCGAACCACTGATCTACGATATGGAAGAATTACTGCATCAAAAATTTATGAAACTGCCAAATGTAAAACTCCTGCTGTAACTTTAGTTCAGTTGGTTATTGGTGGACTGAAGAAGTATGACACACCAGCAATGCAGAGAGGAAGAGGGCTCGAAAAGCATGTCTTTCGTGCATTGGAAAAAAATGAATAAGACTTTTGAGAAATGTGGTTTCATGCTGTCACCAAAATTGAACATATAGTCCATGATTAATCACCAGCCCAAACATAATACATATCCGAGTGAGTTAAGGTTGGAACAAATAATACTTTTTCTAGACCTATTGTTATTGTACAAATCTCACTTCCTGGTTGCTGGGAGGAAGCGGAGTCTCCTTTGAGATTGGTTTGAGCTTTTTCTGCTTTGCGATGGTGCAACTCCAACTGTAATCTTCTGGCTATTGTCAGACGCCCAGCTGACCTAACTGATGCTTGTACTTTCATTTTTATAACACATGCATGTCTGTCGCATATTTTGCAAGTGTCCGTTCTAGGTCTACGGAAACTCAAATTAAAAAATTATTTTTTGAAAACCCTGCAGTAGTATTTGTAGAGCACTTGATTATGACGATACTTTTTATTAAATGCCTTTAAAAGAGGATGTATGTTAAGCTCTGGGCTTATATACAGTTTTGAGCTTTTTTTACGAGCGTAGTGGCTCTCCTCTTTTGGTATAGAATTTATGTGATTTATAATACGTTTGCGATATTCTTTTGTATAAACTTTTCAATAATTGGCATGAGCCAAAATATAGCCTTTATCTGTGTAAGTTATATCGCCACTTTTCTTCTCTTTTATTATAACTTCCATCTTTTTTTTTGCCAGTGACAACGAATTCATTAAAGTTTTCTTACAGACGTTTACGATGCTTCCTATTCCGTCGGGTAAAGTATAAAATACAGAACACTGTCTTCTACTCTCACTCGAGTCAGTGTATTAACCATTATGCCTTCTTTTCACCTGTCCTAGATGTATATGGGACATAGAAAACGATCCTTGCGCGTTTAGATCCAAAGAGTATGAATTGAATATATTACTGGATTAGCTACAGGAATAGATGTACATTACATATACTGTACAATAATTACCTTAAATAGTACGTTTTTGCTGCACCTAGACATAAATATCTGTACGTGCAGCTAATATCATCATATAAGTAGGCACTTAATTCTAAAGCTGAAGTATCGGTAACTAAAATCAACAACATCCGCATCAAAGAGTTAACACATACAATTACAAATGTACCAGGAAACAATTTAAATTCTGAAATATA